AACAGGTGACTGAGTTAGTGGCTTTTTTACATGATTAGCGATAACTAATTAGTGAAAGAGTCAATGGTTACAGGTATGGAACTGGAGAAACATTTGTGTGAGGTTTACAACAAAAATGGGTTATATACAACTAGTCACGTTAAAATGCGACGCGAGAGTTGGACGCACCGCTTTTTATGAGGCTACCTATTTGCAGTCAAAGTCCGTCAAAGTGTGTGGTCTGATCGAGGCTGATCTTATCAGTACTAGGACTGATTAAGTCGCCAGACTGTCTGCGTGTGCTTCCGAATACTATTTCTGCGACTTATAACTGAGCATCAGTTTTTATTGATGTTCAGATACAGAGTATTACAACGCGTAATAAATCTGTTCACTGATTAGTGTTAGAGTGAGTTGTTAATTGAGTCTTCATTTGTCAATGAAAGCGTTGTACGATCCTATCAGGCTGAGATTAATATACTGTGTGGCGGATTATGTGTGATCCCAGGAAATTCAGCAAATTTTCTGAGATTCCTCAACTTCCATTGAGTTTTTTGTCAGTTGTTATCGTTATAGGTATCCCAAGCACTTTCACCCATTGTTTAAGAAAGGTTTCGCTACCGTTTCCGCCGTAATATCAATATGTGATGCAGCTAGCTGGAACCTGGTATAGATATCGGAGCATGTGGACAAATAAGTGAACCCGTTCAAGTGTGGCAGGGGACTTAACGATTTCAGGTTCACGTTTGCGAAACAGGTATGCGGCTGCAGGAATGTTCGTGAAGTTGATATTGTGTGCCTGCTTACTTTCACCACATGTTATGACATGCATTCTCTCGCCTACTCTTACACGTCACATAGGTTCGGCCAAGAATATGCTGCCGAGATTATTTCAGCTGAAGTTTTTGCCCCAGAAAAATTGCCAAAATAGCTTTCTCCATGGTTCTGAGGGTGAAGGGCCTAGGTGAATCTTTCAGTATGTCATAGTACACCAAGTCGCCATCTTCAGGAGATGGCAACTGTTTAAGTTTGATACTAGAGTTATTTGCAGCGGGAAGACGCTTTAATTTTTCTCCATTCTTTCGATTTTCGGCAAGTTATTTGAAGTCTGTAGCGGTTTACCGGATTGTACCCACGTGGATTCTAGGATGTGTATGAGCGACACAGTGCTCCGTCCCCTTAACGTGTTTTACATCACCATTCCGTGTGATGTATTTCTCGTGATGAGTATTTCCCCTTGTCTTGAGGAAGTGGAGGCTTGTGATTTGTGGAGAGTGTGAATGGCTTGACCATGGGGTGAAGGTGTTTAATTGCTAGGTGGATTGATAGTAACTCTCTTCTTTAAAGTAGGACATCTCATTTGCAAAGGATTAAGTCGTTTAGAGAAGAATTATGTTGGTTTCCAGTTGTCTCCAACCAGATGGTTTAAAGCCGCTCCCGCAGCCTTATGTGATGCCTGCCGTAATAATTCAAGAGGAGCATCTGGAATAGGATATTATGAGGTTGTGGCTTTCGCTAACTTCTCTTTCACCTGTGCAACTGCGTCGGATGCCTCCATTGACAACAGAAGTGTACACTTCCCTCCTACAACTCTTAACTAAATTCACTCCCTGGACAGAAGCAAACTTCACATTTCTCTCCCACTAGTTCGTGGCGCAATAAGCAGTGTGACTGCCACGTTGTGGTGGTTCGTACACCCCACGGGGTGGTATCGTTTGGTAAGCTATGCTAACATTTATTTTTCCAGACTTCATGCATTTACCAGTCACTTTCCGTGCTACGGCGCGCCTGTTTATATTTAACATATGACGGACATTCATGTACCCTAGAGGGCAAAAAAGAGGTGTCAATTGGTGACCACATAAAAGTGAAGTGAACAGCACCACTGGCTCATTCTTAAAATGAGAAAGTACGAAATGATAAAGATCCTGGTGACGGCCTATTGTAATCATCCAGTTTCACAACTTGAAACTTTTTAGAGTCGAGGATTATAAAAGTGTCTGTGCACCCCTGAAAAAGTTTGGAAAGCCATAACCCACATATTTTTATCCCCCATTTCTGAAAAGAATATGGAGGTGTTTTATCCCTAATGACACTGAACCACGCGTATCCACAATTCCCATTAGAACAAGTCAAAATCTTAAGCCCTCTCAAAATTGGGTGTGTATTCACTGACGACAGAAATCCACAAATGATCACATACATCGATCCTTTGTGAAATTTTCCAAAATCGTAAGGTAATCAAATCCCATTTGAAATGGAATTAACCAAATCCAAACTGTGGACAAAATATATGTATCTGAGTTTTCATCCGTCTGCTGATCATCTTGTGGTGAGAGCTGGCTGCTAGCCAAAGTTGGTAGACAGTAATTGACGTCAAGTTTATATCCCTAATATTGGTGGTGAGAAAATGAGAACAAAGGCTTTGCGTAGACGGATACAGTTAGCATATGGATGATCTGACACAGCCACAAAGAGATGCAAGGTTAACTTTCTGTGAGAAACAACCGATCAAAAGACTGCATTTTCTACTAACAATAATGTACATTAAAATCTATAAATATGTGTTGATTTTCCTTATTAAACGATCTGTTGTCTGGCCCTTGTCTTCTGTTGTTACAATCTTAGTCGGTCGCTGGCAGATAATAATAATGAAGGCGTACACGACAACATAGTAAAGTTTCTTAACATAGATATTTTCTAATAATGAGGTGCTATAACCTTTGACACCCTCTAAAGTTAACTTTAAATAATAGTCAAACATATGATAACTTTGGTCCGAACAAACAAATTTGAATGTGCAAGTGAAGGTTGTCTACTGGCATGAGGATTATTAATTATGCACTGTGTGTATATATCATATTTGAACTTGCAAATGGAATCCAGACTACTATCTGTAAACTGCGATTGTGTTATGCGGTCTTATTAATTGTTATCGTTTGAAGATGCCTGTAAGCTGGCTTCCCTAGTGTGCTGTAATATGAGGAAAAATAATGTAATTATTCATATCGGAATCACCATTCTCTGATTAAGCTTCCGGTTTGGAAATTCGGGCACAAAACTCTGGGAAGCTTACTTCCTGTTTGCTTCACACTATCTTTCAAGAGCTATGAAATGTGATTCCATCTGGGTCCCATGTTATTTTCCCTCATAACGGTGGTATTTTCGGTCTAATGCTTTGACATCACAAAAGTCTGAAAACCATGGTCCATAACTTACTAATTCATTGTCTACGTACGCTATCAACACAAATCTTTCGATAGCCTTCATGGTTGTTTATTTCTCTTGTTGTCTTGCATTTCTACGAAAAGAGAAACTAGATGACTGTCGCATCCGAATTTCAAAGCCAGTTACAGCAGGATATTGACTATTAGTTACGCATTATTTTTCATTTTAGCACACGGCAACCACCCGATGGAAACAGGGATATTTTTCTTCAGATTAGGCAGTGATTTTATGAACATTGAACATTGGTAGCATCGTCCACCATTCCCAGAGTGAATTATCTATAAAATCAGTGAATCACATAGTGTTGCTGTCTCCTGCTGGTCGGAAAGTCCAGTCATCAAAAATCTTCTGTAAAGACATACGAAACCGTTCAGGTCATAAGTTGTAGCGCTACATTCCTATTTAAGTTAGTGTGAGATCAATGGATGTTTTAGAGGCTGAAGGCACTGATGTTCACGGGTAGTACGAAGTATACTAACGCAAGTTCTAATAACCACAAATTCTGTGGTATTCGTTCCGTGTAGACCAAAGGCAAAGCAAAACACCAGAATTGATCAACCAAATTACGAGTTATATTTCGGGACCAAATAGGAGTGTGAGATGATTGCTTAACCAGCTAGGGATCGTGCACGAACGAACGAACGTAACACGACGGCATGTCAAGTTGCGCGGATGCTTGACCGGAAGCCTTCAGCTAGACAAATCGACTAAAACAGTAAGGGTCAGCATCCAATGTTCAGTGATGAATGCTGTGGCCAATAATTCTGGGGAAATACCCACCGCTACAATGTCGATTCGTCAGATTTTAAGAGGAATTTTATGGTGGCATTGCTACAAATCCTGGATTAGAAAGTAATGTTGACAACCGAAACTCATAACGTTATGAGACAAAATTTCTCATTCCTCACACAAAACAGAGATTCACACACCGGCTGAGGGTAGAAGGTATCCATCCAATTTTAATCATTTTAATTAAAGTATGTGCTCGTTTGGTCAGCTGTTTGTAAAAAAGATCAGGTGACCTGACACCACGTCTCATGGAGTTCGGCTTTGAGAGCCAATGATTCGGTCGGAGAACCAGTACTCCAATGCTATTTAGTTGCTCCTTGCTCCTTAAAATGTCCTACACCATCGTCTAGGGTGCTGCAATAAGATGAAAATGAACTCACAAGATAGAAGTAGTCCCTAGTATTCGTACATTGTGATTCGTTCTCTGAATGTATACAGTATAATATAAGGTATATGAACCATTAAGTCGTTCCTCGCATGAAAGATTAGTCACACCAGAAATCATAAATTTGGACTTACTTTGAGTACTTCCTAGAATGTATGATTCCCTTTATGAACAGTGGCTTTTAGTTTTAACCTCACCGTAAATGCATTATGTTGGCTAGCGTTCTCACTGGTTATTCTAGCATTGATCATGCGTACCGTCAGTGAGAATGTGAAGCAACTAGTTGCAACTGTAAGATAACAGTGACTCACTGTAACACTTAGATCAGTGTAGGTCTCAGTCTAGAGAAGTGGTGTTCCCCAGTATCGTGTGTGCTTAGTCTTGAGTGCCGGATGCTCGATTACCCACTTTTCTACAAAGATAAAAAAGGATTCATTTATTTGGACATCCTAACAGATTACTGAACTCTGTTTGCATTGTAGGCATGTATAGGTTATCCTTCAGCTGTTTCTAAATTTCAAGTCACCTATCAATGTCCAATCAAATTTACATTGAGTTATATTTTTTGTGGAGTTAGAATAAATAAATAAATGCATTAGGCATTCATCATTTTGTATCACTTTACTTCGTATTCTGTTTGGGTATTATTCATACGTGCATACACTGTGTTTGACTAAACTTGGATGTCTCGCTATTTGAACCGGTGTCCTAAGTCTTGTGAGGCTTGAATGACATTTCTGGTGCTTAGATGTCTCCAACTCCTCCATCCAAACGACAAAAAATACTGTCCGCTGTAGAAAACAACAACAATAATAATTTTCACACAAGTACCGACATTAATTTATCAAACGTATGTCATATAAGAATCAAAATACTCACTCTCCATTTCTTTAGGGGATGGAAGCTAATGGAGAAGTTCCTGATTTAGACGAAAGTCTATATAGTCGTCAGCTTTATGTTTACGGCACTGAAGGGATGCGTCGGATGGCAACTACTGACATTCTGGTTATTGGCCTAGAAGGCCTTGGGCTCGAAATAGCAAAAAATATCACTCTTGCTGGAGTTAAGTCTGTCACCCTATGTGACAATACCCCTGTGTGCCTAAGTGATCTTTCTTCTCACTATTTTGCAAGTCAGGATGATATTGGACATCCTCGTGCTGAAGTTTGCAAAAATAAGCTAGGCGAATTAAATAATCATGTGTCTATTCACGTCCTAAACAAGTCGAAACTTGGATCGGATGATCTAAAGAAATACAATGTGGTGGTATTTACTCAGGCGTCAGATGACTTGTGCGCGGAGTACGGAGATATTTGTCGCAGTTTAGGAATCAAATATATAGTTGCCTCAACCTGCGGACTCTTTGGAAAAATATTCTGTGATTTTGGAGCAGAGTTTGTTGTTTATGACCCAACAGGCGAGGATCCGCCCTCGACAATGATTCAGCAAATCGAACAAGTAAGATTCTTCCTTGTATATATTCCGTAGAGCAAAAAAGGGCTTGTAACTTGCTTAGAAGAAACGCGTCATGGATTTCAAGACGGAAATTATGTAACTTTTTCTGAAGTGAAAGGTATGGTTGAACTAAATGGTTGTGAGCCTCGGAAAATTACAGTAGTTGGTAAGTAGCGTTTCTGTATGTACTATTTTCTCAGGACCTGATGCCTTTTCCATTGGTGATACTTCTAACTTGAGTCCTTATATATCTGGTGGTGTCTGTACACTTGTTAAAATGCCAATGAAAATCAGTTTCGTAAGTTCTTTACACATTACTGCTCTTATTTCTATAGCAACCCTACAGGACCGCCTATCGTTCTCCAGTCTTTATGACAACGGATTTTATCAAGACTGAACGTCCCGCACAACTTCATCTGTTTTTCAAAGCCCTGAGCAAATACAGGGATCACACTGGGTCTCTCCCTAAACCATGGTGTAAAGAAGATGCGCACACATTCGTTGGCTATGTTCACAAAGTGAATGAAGAACTAAAAGGCTCAGAAGCTGCAGTTCCGGTTGTTGACGAAAAACTAGCCACACTTTTTGCATGTGTGTCTTCGGGTCAATGTTCTCCTATCCAGGTGACTTATTTGTTCTAATTAACTAACTTTGATAGTCTGTCATAGGTAGTTTTGCGGCCCAAGAAGTCATGAAGGCTTGTAGTGGGAAATTTACACCACTGCAACAATGGGCGTATTTTGATGCGGTAGAGTGCCTTCCTGAAGGTTCCGTTGGCGATTTTGTAGTTTCAGAGAGCGATGCAAAACCTATTGGATCACGTTATGATAGTCAAATAGCTATTTTTGGACATACATTCCAAGAAAAAATTAAGCAGCTAAAATACTTTATTGTAAGATATCATTTTCCTTTACACAATGCATTTAATTTACAGGTTGGTTCAGGTGCAATCGGGTGTGAGTTACTGAAGAACTTTGCGCTAATCGGAGTTGGCGCTGGAAAATCCGGAAAAATTATTGTTACAGACATGGATTTCATTGAAAGGTCAAACCTTAATAGACAATTTTTGTTTCGTCCGTGGGACATCCATAAGATGAAATCTGTTGTTGCCTCCGCAGCTGTCAAGGCCATAAACCCAGAGGTTTGTATTTTTACTTGATTTAATCGCTCGAAGTGAAAAGTAAATTATTAAGAAACTCATTTCACTTTGTAATGTTTAGATTATGCTGACATTGTTTCGTTAATTGTGGCTACTTAACTCATATTGCTTTCGGTTCATGGGATGTTGAGCAGTTAAAGTAGAAACACAACTCTGAAGAGTTTGGGGTAAAATTGTATAACTACCGCAATCTCTGCAACATTGCGTTTCTCCACCCTACTACAAAAAGGTGCAGACACCAGCAAAGCGCTTCTGATTTCGGTCTTTGCCCAAATTAAATTTTACCACCAATAACCACTTAAAATTTGAAGCTAACTTCATAATCAGCTTTCTGATTAGGAACCATTACCACTAGAATAATATGGACTCAAACGGACATTACTGGCTCGTAATCTCAATTTTAGCGGTTATTAGATCCGCAAACTCTACAAACAATTAACCTGTCTAGAAGAATAGAATTGGATTTATTCGGTACAAGCCATTCCTCATTTGTTTTTCGTAAGCTTTGTTTGATTTCAGTTCTTTCTAAGTTACGGTTTTCATCTGCATTCAAACAGCAAGATGGTCCAGAGAATTTTTCACGTGATTAAAATCTAACGGTGGTCTAGAACTAACTCTTTCATTTGAGATTTATAAAGGAGTTCGAACGGAACTAAAGTATTTGTACGAGCTCAGTTTACAGTCTACCTGGCATTCCATAAATCCGCCCATGTTTCGGTGTTCCGCTGCTGTCGGAAATAAAAGTGCGAACTAAAGTTTTCAGTGTTCCTTCAAAGTAGAAAAAATGCAGAGATAAGTGGTGGTTCTCAATTTGATTGCTGCACTGTGTTGTTCGTTGAAAGTCGAATTCAAGTCAAGTTCTCAGATGAACGTAAGTCACATCGATTAACGGGCTTCTTGGTTTTTTACAAGTGGAAGTGCTGGTGGTCGACTTGAGCACTCATCAGAGCCTCCTTCACCTGCTTCAGCTGAGTAGCATCATCAGCTCTTATACAATAACAGTAGCTCACAAACTGACGATGAAAGACCCTGTTCCAGTTAACTGAATTCAATTTTTGTTAAAAGACAACTTGAAAAGTTAACACCGTTCCGGACTAATGTTACTCTTAGTTTCCACCGTTCACGCCTCGTCATCGTGGAAAATTTGTAGCCAGTTGAGAAGAACCCTCGAAATAGAAAATGGGATCATATCCAGTTACATTTGTCGTTCTTGCTTTGTTCAAATACAATTGATGTTGGACAGCAATCAAAGGAAGGAAACGAGTAGTGAATTTTCTTAGTTTCTTTTCTACTTGAACGTTTCAGTACGTTTGCATCTCTTCTCACTTCCGTGGTGGGTCTTGAGGATGTTTCAGTGCACTACTGAACTCAGGTGGTTTATTTATCTTTCGGCCTACTAAACTGTTGAGAATCATACATAATATTTTGAATGATTGGACATTATTTGTTGCAACATGTGTTGTATGCTGTAAATGTGGATTTCATTCCCCGTTTCTCACTAAGAGAATCCTTTCGTGTATCTTCTTTTCAGCTCAATATTGAAGCTCATGAAAATCGTGTTGGATCAGAAACGGAAAACATATACGATGATGCCTTCTTCGAAAGTTTAGATGGCGTTGCTAATGCGCTTGATAATATAGAGGCGCGCACATATGTCGACCGTCGTTGTGTTTATTACCGTAAATCCTTATTGGAATCTGGAACCCTAGGGACAAAGGGAAATGTACAAGTTGTTATTCCCTACTTAACAGAATCCTACTCATCTTCGCAAGTAGGTTTTGTTTCTTCTTTTTGTGTAAATCTTAACAGAGTTAATAATATATCGCAAAATCCCTAACTTTAACTAAATTTTAAAGGAGTTGGATTTGGTTGGAATCAACCTTTATAAGTCAATCAGTAGAATTTCTTCAGGATGATATGAAATTCCTATTTATTTCTGACGTGATTTATGAAAGCCTAAAATTCTGGGTTTTGAACTTTCTGTAAGCAGCATTGTTCCATTCAGTACCAAGACGTCATAATGGGCTATCTTAATTTTCAAACTTATACGAATATTTGATAGTAAACCTTAGGAAGTATTGATTTACGTCGCTGTGTGATCCAGCTGCAACCGAAAGATGTTTTGAGGGATGGTTATGTAGTTATCTTATCAGGGATAAACTTCGCAATAATCTTAATGCTTTTTGTAATTCACAGGATCCGCCTGAAAAATCATTCCCTGCTTGCACTTTGAAAAACTTCCCATATCTTATTGAACATACTCTACAATGGGCACGCGATTTATTTGAGGGCGTTTTCGTCCATCAATCCCAAGCTATGAATTCTTTCCTACAGGTTAGTTTAAACTTTATAACCTCAGATCTTAGTTTATTGTAGTCACATTCTATGCATGAAAGTGAACAGTGACTGTTCACATTTAGGTTCGTATATATATATATTCACAGCTCATAACTAATCATTTGTTCTACTTTTCATTTTCAATGTTCTAGAGGCATGTTCCTATTGTGCCCCATGTGTACGATCTTTTGACTGCGTGGACGAGACTTAATATGTTTCACATTTTAAACGACGTTCATTGAAATTGCTCTTAAGTTCAAGACTTAACTGTCAAACCGGTATCACTCGTAATTACTTGTATAAGCAGAAAAACATTTAGGATTTTAGAAGTATATTCAGTTAAACCGGTAATTCAAAGGTGTGACCAGTGTACTATTGACAATACAAAATTGGTTATTTATCATGCAAAGTGATAGTTTACGATGTGCTTGAGTCATAAATCACTGGAAAAATCAGTTATTCACCTTGAAGTTATGACAATGCCTGTCTGTCTGTCTGTCTGGATTCAACATAGAACTTGGCACCGAAGTGCAGCAGTTCGAGTTGCCACGTTCCAAATAGCACACAAAGGTAGACAAGAAAATGAGTGAAGAGAACCAATAGAGTTTTGATAAGTATAAGAGTGAAACAGAATGAGTAATGGTAGAAAGGAACATGAAAGACTACAGAGACTGAATACATCTGCGCCATTGACAACGATTTTGAGCCATGTCACCTATTGTCTCCAGCCATTGATTCTTAGAGTCCCGAGGGCCCCAACCCGGAAGTCTGCATCTCCCTACCTGACTCAGTTAACTTAGGCCAGAAGAGATCGTAAACATCTGTGGTCAAAAACAGACAATCTCTTCATGTCTTCCGCTCTCAATGGCCACGTCTCACCGCCATAGAGAAGGACGGAGCGAACTGCTGAGCAGTATACACGTCCCTTGGTTGACAGTCGGATGTCACGCCTACGCCAGAGACGGTGTAAGTTAGCGAAAGCAGCCCTAGCTGATCCGTGCTGTGATTTCGTCACATGACAATGCCTAAGTATCAAACTGTGGGGTAATTAACAAAAGTGAAGTAACCTACGGATTTTAATCTTATATATGTCTAGTGGAACTGCTACTTACCAACAAAAGATGAGAAAATAATTTAAGTATTCAGTTTAAACGGACAGTTACTAGTGGTTGAAATTGAACGTTTTTGGGTAACTAACAATTTTGTGTTAACGAATCTATTTCTGTCATGACGCTTTAAGTTTCTGAGATTATTTTCCAATGATTGTACAGATGTAATACTTGAGGTATTCGTCGTACATATGGTCTTCGTAAAAATGAGCAGTTTTGAGGGTGGGTCGCGTAACTGGAGTCCATTTGACCACTGAAGCCCATTGGAAATTGTTTTATTTCATTATCACTCTTATCGGCACTAGAAGTCTACAGCTCCATGTTGGTCGCAATGTTTCCGTTTTGAAATGGTAGTCAATATCGGCTGCTGTTTTACTCTCCACACGTTCACTTTTTCCCAACAGTATATAGTCCACTGACACGATGTTTGACAACACTTGAGTTAATTTTCTTTTTAAAGCAGAAAGTATCAGGAAATCCGTATCTAAGTCCTATACCTTAGTTTAGTATAATCTAAACCAAAGTGGAGATGCTCTGAAAAATGTTACATGTTCTGACAAATTACTAAAACCAGTAAATCTCTATCATAGTAGGCTTCTGTTTATTAGGTCATGGTTTTATATTCTCTCTAGCAGTTATAAACGGCCCGTATTTAAGTGTGGGTGCATTTTAAATATATTGTATGCATTCACTTCAAATTTGTACCAGAAATAGATTTTAATAAATTATCACTATTTTTATGCTTACTCAAAGGGGTGTTTTTTTAATTACCGCTAACCTTTATGCAGCAAAGAGTGGATTTTTTAATGGCTATCCTACATTTTAGTTGGGACGATAGGGTTTATCTGCTCACACCAACATCATTTTACTAGATTGACTCATGCGTGTTTAAAGTAATTACTCCTTATTTTGACCCCATAGGATCCGTCTGGATTTTTGGAACGAACATTGGCAACTCAAGGAATCCAGCCATTGGAAACTCTGGAAACCTTGAAAACTAATCTGATAGATAAAAGGCCAAATAATTTCGAAGATTGTGTGACGTGGGCTAGGTTGATGTGGCAGGTAATTTCATGTTTATCAATATATTTTGATAATTGTTTTTGACATATCAGGGTGAAATAAGAACCCCTAGGTATGCGCAACATAAAATTAGAATTCATTCTTTTGTTTCGTATTACTCTGTAGTACAGTCTCCATTGTTTCTTGTAAAGTATCAATAGTAGCACCTCAATCTTCTGAGTCACATCAATTCCATTGAGAAATGGTGACTCAGCACAGTTTCCATTAATTTTATGATAATACGTTATTGTTGGTCCACTTTTATCCGGCGTGTTGCTGGCCTGACGTGCAGTAATCGGGACAAATGCCTGTTTATGCAGCATGCGTAACCTGTTTAAATTGCATTATGTAGCGTTTCAAGATTTGTTGGATATTGTTATCCATCATGACAAGCATATTACCATTTGTGGAAATTACCATATTTTGACTTAAGTAGGCAAGAGGAGATATTGGTAATCAGAGAACCATCGGTTCTAAGCAAAATGCTCTATCTAATTTTTGCAGATAGGCGGTAGCTACTGTAGACAAACTGGTCTAGTTTCACTTTTTGGGTTCATCCACTCATATCATTTACAGACATCGTGTTCCCAGAATACTGTGATGGCATTCTTATGAACATTAAAACATTCTTCGGTTCATCTTTGCATATATACAAGCGGTCTTGCACATTGCTAATGCGCTAGTATGTGTACAATGTAGTGATAACTGTCATAGGGAATCGTTCAGTAGACTGTAATAACCCGTCATTCATAGATGCTCAAACTACCGTAATTCACAGGTTGCAAATCAATAATGTAAGCCACAACTTAAAACTATTTCTGCATATACGTGTCGACTCTTACTTACTTGGAACCTGATTACTATTGCATAGTGCATTGTTGAATAGGAAGTTGGGTGTGCTTTATATCTCTTTATAGACTTTCGCAATATTCTTGTTGAGTTTAGATTTTTATTTCCCAGCATCTAGAACTGACAGTATTTAAATGTATCTCATTTCACTTTTACAGGATTTGTTTTCAAATACAATCGCACAACTACTGTTCAATTTCCCTCGTGATCATGTTACTTCAACTGGGGCTGATTTTTGGTCGGGAACAAAAAGATGTCCTCACCCATTAGATTTCGACACTCAGAATGTGAGTATCATGTCCCTATATCCTTGATTAAACTCCGATTTTATAATCTAGGTGATGCAAAGGCAAAAGTCCTTTATTCCTAATTTGTGATTGGTGATTATTTCGAATTTAGCATAACTTTCAGAAATTTGTATTTTTTATCGGTTCAACAAATAGAAAATCATTGGATGTCGGTTACAAAGTTCATTGCTCCAATTAGTTTTACTTTCAAACAGTATGAAATATCAACAAAAGTGAGAATAGAAAAATAAATTAGGTTTATATGAAATTAAAAACACCTTAAATAAAACTAATTTTCTAACTACCAATCTCTTACGTATCCCAACATCTTAGATAGGTTAGCTATTTCGTCCTATCTGACTTACAAGCAATATTTTCTTTTACCAAAATCACTCGTAGATTTTCTTATCCAGTTAACATTAAATGTTGACAGAGGGTCGGCGACGTGCCTGATATCTTGGCCATATATATGAAATCTTATCTACTGACTTGCCTCTAACACTTTATATGGTATACATGGTAATATCTTGCTGTCGTTAAGATTCGACAGTACTTTAGTGATACAGTGAATGCACCGGTAACAAAAAGTGTAACTTCCTTGTGTTGTTCTATCTAGGCGTGGGTTTTAAAAGAGTCAACCGTTGTCAAATGTAGCAGATCTTTGTTAAGTAGCCAGCTATTTGGTGCCAAATATGATATGGATAAAATCAACCCAAATTGCCTAATGGAGCTTCTGTATTAATGAAAGTGTCCTCAGTCATTGATTTTCCTGTCCATCCATTCACATGGTATCTATTCCACCGAATTCTACGGTATCATCCTATAGGTGACATGCACACAAAATTTCAATTATTTCCGAGTTTTAAACCCGAAACCGTACAGTTGAAATCATCTCATCTTTATCACCTAGTTCTGTGATTGCCGTAATAATTTGCCGTCGTGTATCTTAAGTTATATTGCAAGATCGACGTTTTGAATCCCATCCTAACTACAAAGTGTTCATTTTAAGAGTAAACACATGTTTTGTTCTTTTTTTGCAGCCAACACACATGGAGTTTATTTTAGCAGCATCGAATTTGCGAGCTGAATGTTATGGTATACCACAGTGTCGCAATCTTGTCAAGATCTCAGAGATAGTTCAAAATGTAACTGTTCCTCCATTTGTTCCTCGATCAGGCGTTCGAATTGAGGTGACTGAGGCGGAGGCACAAGCCAGAGCAGCTGCACCAATAGCTGATGCATCACGACTTGAAAAGCTCCAAAAGGCATTGCGCAGTTTCAGTAAGTACTTACTCAGTTTGGTCCCTTTATTTCCATTTTCTGACTTACTGTGAAAACCACTAAATAACTACCCACCGAAATTTCCTGAGTAACCATAGCGACAATAAAAGTGGCGTTGACTGTGATGTGACTGTAACTAAAGCATCCATGGTACTACCACATAATGGAAGGGGCATCAGACACTGCGTCATTTTTTCTTTAGATTTTGTTTAAATGTGAACGTTAGGTGCAAGATCTTGAAGAGAATAGTGTTTAAAGATGGAAACCTCTTATTTTTGAAGCAGATATGTTGTGCTTTATCGTATTGCTGGAAAGTGCCGAGCTAGGACGAAACAGCTGTCCAGTACTCGGTGGTTCTCTAACCGATATCAGCTCATGTTGAAATCCTGTAACCAGTCAATCGAATCCCTACAAACCAATACTTGAATTAATATTTGTTTTGATAAAGAAACGATGAAGCACAAGATATCTGCTTCAAAAATAAGAGGTTTCCATCTTTAAACACTATTCTCTTCAAGATCTTGCACCTAACGTTCACATCGAAAACTGAGTAGCTAAATCGTAATCTTTCTGCAGCTGCTTCATAACACATTTTGCTCCTTACCATTCGAACGGAAATTCACGAATTGATGTCTCAACACTTATAGCTGTCTGCAAACCTCTTCATAAAAGTGTGTAACCTTTAAGTTCATTTATACCATCTTATTTCCTCTAACCATTGTGATGACAATGCTATTCATGTCTCGAATATCTTTGGTTGTATGTGTGTGAGGTCTAATCTCCAGTGCCAGATTAGGTTCATACATGTTTGTTAGGCTGACAGTAATGGGCATATTGTTAGGCTTTTGAACTACAGTACAGATATCCGGATTTTAGCTTAAGTATGTTAAAATGACTTAGGTACATGTTTTATCGTCAACCTATTTGTTGACAATAAAGTACTCCAGTCTTTGATTATATGTGGTATTTGTTTAATTCAGCAAATATTCGACATGTTTGTTTGTGGTGTTTTTCTTTGTTACAACTTAAATGTCCGCTAATTTAAAAGTTATATTGAATTTGATTTAAATTTCAAAGGACAGAATATTCATCGAAGAGATTCTTGTCAACGAATTTATCATCAATTCTATATTAAATAAGTTTATTTTAAATATCACACAATGACGTAGTATTAACAACTGGATGACGTTTCGAGCACAATTTATTGCTCATAATCATAGCAATTTAGTCACACGGTTTCACAATTTGTCTTGTATATATTTTCTATCTCTTCAACTTCCCTTTGTTTTTTGTTGCCACTTTTCATATCTCTGGTATAGGCGTTGCCCAAGTTCTACATTTACACTAATTTATTATCAAGCTATACATCCAAATTCCAAATATTGATTATTTTCGTGCGTAAAATATGAAGCCATAAGGAATAAATTTAAAACTAGTTGATTTAAAAATGTGGTAATAATTGCAATCTTTTTCTTCCTGTCTTATTTAAATTATTCAGATGATACTGCTAAACTGCATATCAACGTGATTGAATTTGAGAAGGATGATGATGCTAATTTCCATATGGATTTCATTACCGCAGCAAGCAACTTGAGAGCTGATAATTATGAAATTCCACCTGCTGACCGACTAAAAAGTAAACTTATCGCCGGTAAAATAATCCCTGCTATTGCCACCACAACTAGTTTGGTTGCTGGTCTGGTGTGTTTGGAGTTGTTCAAGGTTAGTGAATAATTTTCATTTGTGATTTCAAGAATATATGAGTCAGCGAATAGGTCTCATATCCTAACTTCTCACCAATGCTGTACAGCTATGTAGGGGTTCGTTTGTATAATGTTAATTGTCAACAAAGATCAAAGGTTATTGTCAGTTAATGACAGAGATATATAAAAGTGTATAAAGTGGATGATCCTATGTAATCGAGAAAGTGCATAATTAATTGATTAAACGTATAGTTTTTTGGAGTTATTTGATAGGAAATGAGAGCACTAAGAACTGAAAGTGGATCACGAAAATATATGCACACAGAATGTTGCATTACGCAGCAAATCAAGAAAAATTGGGACTATGGCTATGATAGTAAAGGTTCCTGGACTGAAAGTTAGGTTTTTCATATCATAGGCCTCGACTCCAATAAGATGTAGACGAAATGTTTTTGATTGGCATATTATGCTGAATAAAGTCTTTACCTACACAACACTGGAACTGAGCTGTTAAATGTTCTATGTCCTCTTTTCGGCAACCACGGTGGTACGTGGTCAGGGGCACGTCTAAACAATGTCCTGTTGGTATAGTTAGGAGTAAGTGAACTGGTGAATGCACATTGAAGTTGTCAACACTGAAATCTTGTCTTTGACCTTTTAGTGGACAGCAACATGCGTAGATATGCTGCTTTTGACAAACGAATTTGGAGAACTTCAATTTCAGATTTAAAAATGGCTGTTTCTTCGCCACATTCAGGTGTCATAGAATATGGGTGTTTTTCAAATTCTTACCAGTCTCAGTTTGTTAGGGATTCCATTTCCTTACTCAAATCCGACGGATTCCTGTATTAGGAGAGGCTATACGATTTCTATCTCTGTCTGCCGCAAGAGAAGTATAACAGTTTGTCAGCGTTCCCTGTCATTGAGCTTGTGGTAAATTGATCTGTTCGTTGTGAAAACTGGAAGGATAATTTACCTCCTGACTCTGACTGTACAGTAAGCGGATCGATAAGCATGGTTCAGGATTTCTAGTATTCAACTTAGTTTAGAATTTTCATCGTTAAAGGTATCGTCCATATTTCGCTTTGGAATTTAAAACTGACTAGTGGTTGATTGAACGCTATTAGGATTCCAGGTATGCCATGAAGCAGTATCCTAATGGTAGACCCACTGATATTCCATCCCTCTGTTGATATATTTGATCATTGAATAAAAACTGGATGGTGAATATGCATCTTAGTAATAAGCTCTTTGACATACTCTGAATGAATATTAGCATTTAATTGAGTCAATGAACTCAGACAGTACGTTGTTTTTTGTCATGGGGTAAATTGGTTAACAGAGAGACTTTGTCTGATGAAGATATGATCGATCTAAGTACGTTTATTTGCCTTATCGAAACCATTAATTCAGATGTATGTCTTAAGGAGCGCTTGTTCATTATGATTCTCACAAACCCAGTTTTTGGGAGCCATAGCGCTACACGATGGTAATATGATCTAAACACGTCCAAAATAGGACTCATCGGTAGTCCATCATCACAGACCTCAGGCAAACCATACTGGCGTGAAATTCTTGAACAAGAAGAAAGAATCTCGTCATAGATTTGTGTGCTGGCAACTGAGCCCTGCTTCATGTTTTGAAGGATGTTTGCTAATTGTTTTTCACCTTGTATAGTGTTGTCTTTCTCCCCAACCATGACTTGAAAATGTCTTATCACTGTCGAGAATTTCTGAGGTCTTTTAGGTAAAAATTGATATGTTTGGTGGCAGGATTTTGTACTGACTGCTTTTATTTGTTATCAGTTGTCTTAAAATTACTTGGTCACTTTTATGAAATTTTATTAATATCAATTAAGGGGTTGAATAGCAATTTTCTATATTCGATGACATTTTTTGTTCATGGAGTTCATTCATTTTGTTGCCTTATGTGTGAATGTTTATGGATTACATTTTTACTTTTTTGCTGCCATTTTCAGATTGTCCAAGGACACAAAAAGCTTGAACTCTTTAAAAATGCATATGTTGATTTAGCGGCACCGTTCATTTCCTTCTATGAACCTGTGGCGCCTGCTAAATCAAAATATTATGATACAGAATTTTCTTTGTGGGATCGGTTTGAACTGTCAGGTCATATGACATTACAGGATCTTATCGATTACTTCAAGGTAGGTATACTTTACTTATATAACTGATTTTTTTTAGAACAACTTGAAGTTAAATGTAACAATGTTGTCCCAAGATGTTTCTATGCTCTACGCATTCTTCATGCCGGAAGCAAGACGAAAGGAGCGTTTAGTTATGCCGTGAGTTAAATGAGTACTATAATATGTCACATTTTTTCGCCTAATAAATATTCATATAGTATGATATCTGGTAGCGTTTGTATAATTGAACTGCAAAGTTAAAAAAGGTGTAGACAGATTTCATGATTTTAACATCTTCATCCGATTGCTTATGATAGTTGAAGCCATACAGTAAGTAATGTGGAAATAGCCTTAAGTATAAAATCCCTATTTATGTGTAGTTCTTTCTGAAATAAGATCATGCAAGAAAAAAGTGGAAAGTAGGATGATTAGGCTGAAGTCATGTTTCGATGCTTTTAGTTTTTATGAAGACTTGATTATTTTGACATCCGTGTTTATCACAAATCCGTGAACAAAGAGAAGCGATGTTTATTTTTTTTAAAAGTTTCGTTTTGTTATGACATTCAGTAATATATAATGTTTTTTTGTAAATAAGTATGCTCTTTATAGTGCTAACTAAGTCTTGCTTTAATGATACCTTTTTAGCCTAAAGCAACTTGTGGAAACAGTCAGTAAACGTCAAATCCCTCCACATGTGAACGCTCTAGTATTCGATGTTTGCTGCAGCGACATGAATGATGAAGATGTTGATGTTCCGTATATTCGATATGCACTTCAACGTGCCAAATAAGACTCATATTTCCATGTCTTTCCCAAAGCATCCAGGTCGCAAACTGGATTTTGGTGATAGTTCCCATATGATATGATCGACTCTGGAACTCTTTATTTTCATTCAAAAAACAAAAAAACAACTAACTATAACTTGTTACTGAATAAATTTGCCAATGAAAATAAATAAGCGAACAGCATATGTGCAGTTCTGTGAATCTTGTACGACATTTTTGTTTTATGTAGCACTGTTTAAAATTGAAGTTGTGTCGAACATGTTTGATTTATTTCTTCCTCCACCAATATACTTCTGTATGCAATGTTTCAAATCTATGACTACTTGGGCTAGTTTAATTTTAATGATTGCTTTCCTTATCACATTCTTTTGAATGTTTGTTTTTTATGGTATTGAAGTTTACCAAAGAACATCTTAACACGCCTACTTTATTTTTTCAGTGGTCATTGAGGCTAACAAGTTTTAATTTTGACGTATGCATCCATTAACGTGAGCTTTGAACAGTTAAGTTCGTTTCATAGCACAATAACAGGTCACTGAGCGTTTTTATTGGGAGCAATTAATAATATCGTCACTTTCGTATATTCTTAGATTAGTGTTGTCCTCAGTTTGGGAAACTGAGCTGATTTTAATAGGAGTGCAGTATAATGAGACTCAGTATGTAGTGTTTTGCCCCATATATAACGGAAAAGAAAACAGATTTTAATTGCATGGTCTAAATAATCGGCCTTTTCTCATACAAATGAAACTCAACGTTTTCTGTCAATTGAGTTGCCTATGCTTAAGTGGGGTTTAGTGCTTTTGATACCAATTTGTTTGCATTCATTAAGATGTAGCTATATACATACTAAAGCCAGCATATCAGTGAGTATTTCTGAAGGGACTTCCATCTTCCCGATATTTTGTATAGTGATCGGTACGTTATCACATAAATCTTAGTTAAACGGTCGTCTTTTCACATTGAGTTAGAAAGTGTTTAGTGGCTACACAAGCAAGTTGTGAACTAGTTCATTGATTATACTGAGTAATAAGGTTACTTATAGGAACGTTATATGTTTTGTACTACTGTTCACTTCTTTGCTGACTAGTGAATTTATTAGTATGCTTTTCCTTGTCTTATTCGCAATTGAGTTTGGTTGGTATTGAGAATAAGTCAGTGTAATCTCAGCTTGTTTTCACTTCTAGTTTTAGCTGTAATATTTTCAATATCTCTGCCAAAGATGTGGTACTCAAATGGGTCCTCATAAACAGTCGTTAATGTGTTGTAGGGCTAGCAGGTAAATTGCAATCGATTAGAGAAGCGTTGCCTTTTCGTCATCTTCCCATATTTGCCGACAGATTGTAGCCTTGATACAGTTAAGGATGAGTTCTCTCAACTGAGTGAACTTCTGAAGCATGCGCGTCCAGTAGGCATCATAGTGCTAGCTGGGGACTTGAGTGCACGGGTCGAGGAGAGTCTTTTAGGTGGTTTCAGGAGTCAAAATGACCCCATGTTAGGTGAAGAAAGACCGTCTTCTGCAGTTCTGTTCAAATTTCTAGCCTGTAGCAACATTGACACTGCCATAGCAGTAGTGCTTTATGACGTACACCAGTTTTATCTTGCGATTTGGAGATGATCATAAACGTTTTCCTCAAGCTGAGTTATAGTCGATGCCTGCTACGAACCTCTTAAATAGTACAGTATTGGTTAGACTCACAAGACACCATTGAAGCAGTGAGTAAAGTAGATTGCGGTTTAAAAGAGGATCACCGGGTTCCATGCCCGTCCGTTTCGGCGGATAGTGAGTATAACAGGGCTCTTACACATGAGACCATACAGCATCTACTTAAGGACTACAAAGCCTGGGGGACAGTCGGAGACCAGTATCCGTATTTATGGTATGTGCTTTGCTCCATCTAAGTACAAGGTATTTTTGCAAGGTTGGTAGGAGCGCGTACATGCACTCCCAGGTAAGCCATTAGAAGTAGTTCATAAGCTAGTGTATCTAGATGGTTGTTTTGAGTGAGCATAAAGTCTTATAGTGAAAGGCAGGATGATACACGTCAACTTGGGCCACTTCAGGTTCTGCTACGAGGTTACCATGGCATGATGGTGCATTTTTGTGAGAGGAAACTGAAGAGAACGTTTACACTTGGTCCTCGTTGATTCAGGTAAAAATATCCAGTGGAAAGGTGAATCGAATTCACAAGATGCATGTTACTTAGAAGCTGACGGATGTTGTACTCTACAATGCATCTATAAAAAGTTTCAAAGAAACCGAGTTTTTAAATTCCACTTGGTACTACCATGTATCTCATCAATCTGTTTCTAAAATATTCAAGCGGAAGTTGTCAAAATATCAAAAGTATGTCAGTCATTCTGATATGCAGTTAATCGTCCTCACTATTTTTGTTTATATGCTACTTCAACAAAGTCAGCTTTCAACCAGCTTTGATTCCCTGTCGAGTTCGGAACTAAAGAACTCAGTTTCAAACTAGGAATGGATGTCTAAATCAGAGATATTAGTTGACGGGATAGACAAATTGAAACTGCGTCACAACGCCTGTTTCTCATCTGCTGGAATTTTAATGGACGAAAAATACATCATGTACTTTGATAAACACTAATTAATTGGTGTCATGTGTCTAGTCTTTTTTGTTCGGTGCAGACAGGATTCTATCAGTCAAGTCAGAAGAGATACAAGTTCCTTCAAGGTTGTGGATACGCCTTGCTGTTAAGTGCTAACGAGCGTGAAACCTAGGTTCAGGGCTTTCTGGCAATTGCCTACAATCAACTGTTACCAAATGCTTATCAGGATTTACCAGAAATGGGTCTAAGCGATGGTCATTGGCACCTGATCTGAGTAATTTTTGTCTAGTTTCTATTTCGTTTTATTAATAGCAGAGCTGCGAAAACTGATGAAGTAGATTTAGTGAATTACAGAAATATCACAGTAACATTTGAAGAAATAAATGGAATTTAATTAGTCCGCATAACCTCTCATTAGAATCGTCTATATGTGATTTTGTAAGATGAATAACGTTTGAATATTAGGTTGTAGTTTAGATGATCGAAGCCATTTGTAAAGTGCTCTTGAGAATGTGTAACTGGAAAGATAAATTTTTGGAAAAAAGTGCTTATTTTACTTTTTCAGATTTTACTTCACACTTAAGGTTAAAGAGCCCATTTAATCTTTTTATAGTGTATAGAGGCAGTCTTCTCAAAAATAATAACAGTTAGCCTTTTCAAGGAATTTGGTGGGGTTATTGGAAGACAGAGTTTATCTGGCCTATCATTTTTCATACAGATTGATTTAACAGGTGAATGTATGATCAGATTGTTCGAAATGTATTGCTCAAATACATATTACATTTTTCGAATAAAATCCGTTTTCTAATAATGTTATCCAAACATGATCTATTGTCTCTCTAAAGTAGTCATCTCAAAATTATTATCTGCTTACACCATGCTGTATTGTAAACTTATTGGTGGTCTACATTGATGCTGTACACAACGTAACACAAGCGGTTAAATATCATAGCAAATAAAACATTCAAATTGACGGATTCATGTTTCAATCACTCGTTGCAGAGTCGACACTTATAGCTAACAAGTTAAAGTCAGGATGTGGTGCGCCTCGTAAATCCGGGTGTTTTTACTGCACACAAGTAGATAGCTTCAGAACAGATGTAAATCGAATCTCAAAGTAACCGTTAAGAAATCACATAAAAATTGAGTCCGATCATTTCGGTTCACCAAGCTTAATAAAGTGCGTCGGTGGTATAGCGGTTAGGACGCTCGCCGACCATGCACATGGTCCGGGGTTATATCCCCGGCCGACGTACTCCTTTACCTCGCTGAGCCAGAAATAATGCTGGTAAAGAGGAAAGATTGGGCATGAGGCTAGCAACCCCATCCTGTAAAATAAACACTGCTACAGAAACTTCAAGCCACTAGCTTGAAGCCCTATGTTCCACTGGGGAACGTGAAGGAAAAAAAAGTTTAATAAACGGAGAATCACAACTATTTGTACATAAAATCACTCAGTCGGCAAATTCATAATTAAAAATAAGTAAATTCATCCAACACTTTAGTTCATCTTAAGATTTGAACTCATCAAATAATACTGAATTCATCTGAAGATAAACATCACTGAAAGATTATTCATCAGATTTAAGTAGCCAGTCTGATCATATATTAAAGGGTATCATGATAATTAATCTTATTCTGAATTAATGTGTATTACGAGAAAGTGTCACTTAATATACTTTGGAGATAAAAGTACACTGAGTTTTATTTTCGAAAAAACACACGATATGGATGAACTGTCACGTGCATTTTGAAATCAGTGTTATTTAGTGAATGTTAATCAGACAGAAATTATGAATGAAAATCAATACTTTTTCTAAGCATTATTTAATACTGAATAATGAAAGATGTTTTGCTGAGTAATTCATACTAATCGTGACTTGACGATATTGATTGGTTGGGGGCAATCGACAGGAAGCCTTCGGTCTAGGTTTCGTGCCAGTTGGCACTCGTCAGCAAGACATGTCTGCTACCTTGAAGGAACTGATGTCCCTTCTGAGATTCGGACCCATGTCACCCAGTGCTGCAGTCAGAGACGTTACCACTGGGCTGAGCTTATATGCCCCTTAATAGAAAGCATTTGGATTAATTTTTATTTTTGTTAGCATTTACTGGTTTACATACATTTGATAGGTAAATAACAGTAAGTGTATCAGGCAAGAAGCCATCTAATAGGCAAATTATATATAATTCCTGTTTACCTATGTTCATGTTTGTGTTCCCTCAGATAGTGGATTTGATAATGGATTGTCTATACACTTAAAAAATTGTGAATTAGACTGTTGGATTGCTCTGAACACCGCATCTTCATTAATGGTTTGTACTAACCTTTATTATTCAGTAGTGTATGCCTTCTAGCCTATCCCCTCCAACAGCCTAACATCATTTCAAAGTGCATTAAGCTCCTGAATCACCTAGCTTAGTGATTACGCTGTAAACTTGACTGGTAGAATTCGTTCTACAAGCGTACTAATGGTTGAACTTGCTCGCTAGTAGTCAATCATTCTATAGCTCCTTATTTCACGGAACTTGTTTATCATATCTTGAGAATAAACCAACAGAATCAACTGCAAATTTCCGCCATATCAGACATTTGACATAACACGGTGATACAGTATTAATAACTGGATGACCTTTCGAGCACAATTCATTGCTCATAATCACATCAGATGATATGATATGGAATTATATTCCGCCACGGTGCCCAAATTCTATCCTTACATTAATGTAAATTTCTTACCTATTCTAAAATAAAAATAAGACATACTAAACAGTAATAATGACCTTTTCACACATACTTTTTGTTTGGCTTTTGTATTAAGAACAGAACTGAAATAGTTGATATAGTGAGTGATAC